GACAGTGGTCTACTATTATAATTTGAATGTTCTGATGAGTCCTGTGCGAGAGGCTATAAACTTAATTATTTTTAGAATGGGAGGATTTCTTGTCACAGTACTGGAAAATATTTGGTTTCCAAAACACTGCAACCTTAATGCTTCTTGTCACAGAGCTGTGAGTTTAATCAAGTCTGTTTCATACAGATTAGCAAGATCCTTTATGGAACAGAAACAGCACAAGCTTTGTTGATGGAAAGACCGATCCAAGTCACTCACCGCTCCAAACAGTCGTCCGTCTCTGTTCATTGCCAGATATCGGTTTGCACAAATCCCTTTGATGACCACTTCTCCCACTGAGGTCGCCTGGAGTTGAAGCTTTACTGAAGATGAATTAGCAGAGACAGAGAGCAAGTTGTTGTTTAATGATGGGACGTTTAATTAAAGTGTAAGAGTGACTGCTGACTTAAAAAAAAATGAATTTCTTCATTAAATCACAGCAAGTGTAACAGTGAGCTGTTAGAGAAACAGCTGCAGGTGCATTTCAACATTTGAACTGCAACGAGCAAAAAGACAAGAGGCATAAAACAGAGGAACGAAAATGTTGTTAAATTAACAAACAATTAAGAAAAAGGAAACCTTGATTAAAGGTTTCCTTTTTCTCATAAACAAGCCCACACACCATTTGAACCATGTGACAAGGTTATGTTTAAAGTCAATGAGCTTTAAGTTGCAGGATTTTCCTGACAAAATATCTGACTCTTATACTAGTAGACATTTTAACTTTCTTACTTTCCTTTCCTTAAGGGAGCTTATGTGCCAAAACAGGGACATGCCACTGGGAAAATCACCGCTGAGAGAACTAAGAGTCAGGCAAGTATGCCAAATACCTGGCATGCTCTCATATTTGGGTTTTGTTTCTTTGCCTCTGGACCATACAGGTAAGCGGTACAAAATCAAACCACCACAAAATCAAACACTTCCTGTGACATAACTTATGAATCCTGTAAAAACAGACAGTTACTTTAAAACAATGCATAAAGTCATATTTTGTATGCCAGTTTTCTCTATCAAATACTAAAGTTTTGGGCCAGTGAAGTCTCTGTCTTACTTAAAAGCGCATGCCTTAAACTCAAATGTAGTTTTTTTTAAACTCAACATTTTTTACCTGATAAATTCAGTAATATGTATATATTCTTTTCCCCATTTTTTATTTGCATTTTAAATGAAGACAATGAGTCTAATTATGCTGCGTTTAACATCTTTCAAGCATTACATCCAAACATCAGGTCCTGCTTCCTCAGTTGCTGGCAAATGATTTGTTGCTGTGGTTTCCTCTGTATTCATGGCACTGACTGATGCATGTGCCATGAATGAATGAAACATTATTATTAGCACAAATAGTTAAGTTTAATTACCAAAAAACACAGAATGGCATTACATAGTACCTGCAGGCTGTAAGATTGCTTATTCATGATCTTAAATGATTTATTTTTTTATTTCCCCTTTTTAAAAAGAAACATTGTTTTTCTTCATCCAATATATGCTCAGCAATCAAAAAGAATCCAGGGGCCCCTTGAGGTGAATAGGGGATCTCTTTAGAATGAGTCCCCATTAAGGGTAGACACACATCTGTCTATCATTAAGCTAGCTGTTTGGGTGATTCATGTTACAGATCAAAGAGGCAAAAAAAAAAAATAGCAATTGGTCTGAATGTACTGTGGTGTGTTCGATGTTCCTTGGATAGATTATGTGCTGAAATTTTTGTGAATGGCGGGAACCTGATCCCCGCTTCTGTAAAGTGTGCTCTGGGGTCTCCTGTTGTGTCCAGTTTGTATCAGAATTGACCCCAAGGTTCTTGGATCAAAAGTCTCTTACACAAAACACAAACGGATGGAGAAGAGTCCCATCTACATTAGCATGGAAATTCTACTCGAGGACCCTAGGATATATTAGGCAACATTTTTCATAACATTTCCTATTCTTACTGGCAGGTTTGTCTGTAGAAGCTGGCAACTCTATCCGACCCTTAACAAAAGGGCCTTTGAGGAAGCACAGCTCAAGTCATAATAACTCTTAAGAACTATTTTGGTAAAAAGCTAAATGATTAATACTAATGGCCGTTGTATGACGAAGTGTGAATATATTCCTTCCTTAAACTTTCTCATGTCGTCTACAAGATGAATCTCTCCAGATATTTCATAAACACTTATAATGAAGTATAATTAAACGCAATTGAATTATCCTATAAATAGCCTCTCACTCCTTGAACTGGCATCAGGCATTTGTTTGAAATGTCACACTGTACCTTGTGCAATACACTTCCAAGCATCCAAGCATGTGTTTTCCAAGGAAAAATCCAAATTTCATGTTCCTCTCCTCCCCTCCTATTTACAAAAGCTTAGGGCACATTTAATCAGTGACAGTGACGCACTGAGGAATGCTACAGTTGTCCATTAACGTAATCATGTTAATGTTTACCCTTTCTTAAAAAATGGGGCGCTCAGAATAAATATTAATTCAGATGACTGGTGAGAGGGTAAGATAATTTTTTAACAGGTTTTTATAATAACTTCATCAGCCTCAAAGACGCAGGAACTCTCAGATTTGCTGTCTTTTGTGACGTAAAATATACAGTTAACAGTGTGACTCAGCATGGTGATCTTCATTTGGAGCACTAAAAACATTAAGCATGTTCCATCAGAAGTCCCACTGATGAATAAAAACTGAGGCGTGACTCTTTAGTATTGAGGTTATTATACTTTCCAGAAGGTGACCTACACACATTTGGTTCTTAGTGTTAGCAAGTGGAGAATAATCATAATTCAAATGGAAAATTCACATAATCCCCCTATTATTTATCCACGTTATTTAATTTTTTGCTTTGCTCTTTCTTCTCTGTTGCATGTTAAAAACAGAAAATCAAGAAGTGCTGTGTACTGTGTAAAGTGAAAAGAAGGAGACTGGAAGAACTTACTGTGGGGGTCGTTTTTCTCTCGTATTCCATCCACTCCTCCATCAGATTTTATCCTCAAGAAGAAGCCACCATTTTTACAGTACAGCCTTTTAGGGTCCTTGAAGTTCCCAGGAGGAAAACCGCTGCTGCCGCCGTCTTCAGGTGTAGCGGGAAGTGTTGTGATTCCTCCCGTGGCCATCAGGGTTAGGGACGTCGTCTCCTTCTTGAGAAGTGCAGCAGTTCACCGTGGCCTCTCACCTCCTGCTAACTGCTGCCTGTACCCTCTTACCCTCCTCCACACAAACTGATTCTGCTTAACCTCAGAGGTCAGCTTACTTGAAAGGCCCCCCTCTCAGGGCAGCAAGTGCCCTTTGAGTCCTGAGAATTTGAAGCAGTAACACTTCTACGGACTCCTATGCAAGATCGAAATCTACAATTTGTAGACGCTTGTCTGCCGTTTGTAGAGCTGGCAGCTGCTTTGCCAGTGTACTTTGAGCACACTGGTAGGGGGGATGCATGCAGGTCGCTTCTTTCTTCTACTCTTCTTGCAATGGAGTGTTTAGAGCAGGGCAGCTGGCTTAGATCTGTGTGGAAGGCTTTCCCCTTTGGGCCTCAGTTCGCATGCGCCCTAGGAGCACCAGCACACACACACACATGCTCACGCCCACTAATGCTCACTGATTTAACCAACCAACCCAGCAGAAGTCGGGAAAGGAGAGGAGGGCAAAGAAGGGGGACGTGCAATTTGGACTCTGAGACCCTTCGGAGAGCCAAGAACCACAGCAACCATGTGAACAGAACCAGTGTTTTCATTCATCCAGTCTGTTCAAGAGCAGGAAAAGAGGGACATAATAAGAAAGCCAACAGAGGCATCTTGGTAGTGATTCAGTAAGTGCTATTCATAAGTGAAAAAAATAACAATGTAAAGTAGAAATGCCAGTAGATGAAAAAGAAACCGTCACGAGCCAGTTATTTTAATTGCTATTCTCAATTTTCTCCAAACCAGCTGCCTGGATGATGAGTGATGAAAGTTATTTATCCAGGAGGAGGTCATGCATTTGTCAAAATAGGCACTTACTGTTCTGGGCTTCTGGGCAAACGTTACCACATCTGAAGCTTGTGTGGGACCAGTAGAAAGTCAGCTGTGCTCCTGGTTGACATCATGCTAACAAAAAGTTTTTGTTCGACAGTATCGGCTAAATGCACATATTATATACACATGCAGTGAAAAAATATCTACCAAATATTATTAGTGATACACATTTATACCTGCATAGTACTGTACAGATAAAGTAATGACATAACAGTTATAACATTGACCTCACCTTACCTCAAGTATAAGCTCAGTCTTCAGGCTTTACACTTTTACATTTCTACATACACAGCACAGCCAGGGGACTAGTAAGGATGTAAATTGACTAGTACTTATATAATGCCTTATCTATACCTGTGTGTTTTCTAACATTCACACACACACAGATGCAAGTCGGGTTTTATCATCTTGCCCATGGATGCTTTGGCATCAGGGATCCATATCAGGGATCCACCAACCTTCTACCTTAACTATTGCTGCCCATATAGGAATTTTCAAATCAGCATTTGTCACAATCCTGAATACTTATTTAAATATCTTTTCACTGGGAAAAGGTAAATATATGAGAGGTACAATGATGACATATGGATACACTGATCAGTCATAAAATAAAAACCTGCCAGATATCACGTTGGCACAAAACAGCTCCCATCCATCATAGCAAGGACACAGTACCACTGCGGTGTCTTGTAGTATCTGGCATATAATCCATGGTTTGGCACAGGACACTGGCTACAGTTCTTTCAGGATTGTGGGTTATGGCATGGGGCCTCCATGAATCAGGCTTTTCCAGTTTATTCTATGGAAGCTTTATTAGATGGGATCTGCAGCGCCTATAGGCAGGATTAGCATGTTGGGCTATTTTTTTATGTTTCAAACTGCTCTTGAACAATTTTGTGGTGTGGCAGAGTTCAGTATCCTACTATATCCTGCTGTAGGGAGTCTGCTGCTGTCAGGGGCTGTCATTGCCACTGAGGGTGAGGGAAGCTCTGATATATGATATGAGAATATGATATATGCCAGAGAATATCCACATGAATGCTCAGAGCGAAGGTTTGTAGCAAGATGATCAACATTCAGCTTCAGTTCATTTACTTCAGTGGCTTAAAGAATTGCTCATTTGGCACGCTTGTTGCGAGGCTGTAATCAGCAGCTTACAATAGGATGGCCGAACTCCTCACCCTATCTCTAAGAGAAATGCCAGCCACTCTTCTGAGAAAACTTGTGACACACTTTTTAAAAAAATGTTCAACTATATTTAAAAAATGCCTCAGCTGGCCTTTTTCCTCATAATTTTATATTTAAAGTTTTTTCATTTCCTACTTGTCATTGCCCAGAATAAATACTCCATCTATCTGAATCATCTCTCAGAGAGCCCTTTAAGTTTTACGTTATATAAATTTGTTAAGTGATTCGTGCAGACAGAAAGGAGGTGGACTCACCCTGAACTCTCGGATGTGTCACCAGTTTTGGCGTTCCAACCTTCCTCCCCAGTGTTGTGTGTGTTACGTTATGTCATGCCCTCCCCTCTCAATGCTGCAACAACACTGAATGATGTCTGAGTCAAGACTATTCCGTCTCCACCGTAAAACCTTTGTAACACTTTTATTTCACTGAACTATTTTTAGGGTGTAATGAGCTTTGCTCTCTGTGACCTCAGAGGAAATGGAAGACCACGCAAGTCATTGAAACCGTCACCTCTAAAACACAACATGCAAAAAAGGGAAATTTTTCAAGACACCAACCAAATTGAACAGTGCATTGGGAGCAATTCTTGAATTTTCCAAGTCGTAATCATTTTTACTTATCTTAATATAGGTATTGTATGAATAGCCTATTACAAATTTCTATATATGTATAAGTACTCTAAAAGCTGCCCAAACTGCAGACTTTCAAAATATTTATGTGACCTTTAGGTGATTATGTAGGAGGGAAAGTGTTAATGAAAGATTTCCAGGATTCGAATAACTGACATCACCTCTGAAAATGTATTTTAAAGCACAGACACTAGTAAGACTTAACCCAAAACATTTACTCTGTCTGGAGGTGTTCCTTCTGCATCAACCATGCCAATTATGACACAGAAAGTCATAAAAGAGCCGCACCTGGCACAGAAGCAGTGTCAGCATTCAATGTGAGCAGTACTAGCCAAACTGGAGACACTTAATGAAGCTTAGGCAAATATCATTAAGCAAGTGTTCGAAGACGAAGAAGCACAACAAAAATCAGCCCTCGAGCAGGAAATCTAATTGTGGGTTTGGATATGTAGCAGTATTTTTCCCGGCCTGAAATGTTTGCGAAGTCAACATGTGTTCAAGGATATGTATAACCTAGATCAGGTTAGTCATGATTGTTTTATTATAAAATAAAAGTAATGTTTAAGGGAATTTCCAGGGAGAATAGAGAATCATAATGACAGAGGACACAAGGCCAAGTTAATTAAAAATAAGAAAAACTACATTTCTTGGTTATTCAACATAACTTTATTATTTATTATTTTTTTAATATAAGTTTTAGAAAGAATTCTGAAGACATTCAGAAAGAGGATGTCTCCCCCTTGTGGCAGAAAATAGGTAATAACATTTTTCAAAAGCCCTTCACTGTATTATTTACAGCATATTTTACAAATCACTTTGTTTAGGAAGAAAAAAACAGTTTGTCTTGTAGAGTGAAATCTTTTGCCTGAATATTCTACATGAACATCACAACAGCAAGAGACTGTTCTCGGCAATCTCAGTTTTTTGGTCTACGCCTGTGATAATCTCTGCATCCGTCTGTAAAACCAAGAAAACAAGATCTAAGGCTTTCCTCCATGCTTCCTGTTTCACGCTCAGATTATCATAGATTTCCACTGCTCGTGCTTCATTGGGTTTTGGTGCTGTGAAGACTTCATTATCCTGATTTTCACTGTTTAAGAAAAGTTGTGGGGACTTTGCAGCATTGCCTAGATAGTCCTGCAGTTGTTGGCACACCTCAGTTCTAGCTTTGACTTTTGAAATTCTTCCAGTGTTAACCATTACAGTGGATATGTAATCTATTAAACCATCTGCCATGAGGTCCAACACTACACGCCTGTAGTGGTTGGTTCCTCTCTCACCGTTCTTTTCTCTGTGACACATGACATGATACTCCACTCGCTTTTGTAGGTGATGAATGCAAAGCATTTCTGTCCCACACGCCCCTGGTAGAAGAGCTCTGTCTTTTAGTGCATAGTGTAAGCGATAAGCACAGGCCCAAAACTGGTCCTCCAGGGCCTGAAGCTTTCCATGTATAGAGCTTGTAAGGATTACTGTAACTAGCCCGCTGTTGCTGCCAGTTGAGATATTCACAGCCAGGGAGTACTTCTCGTGGCTACTGAGGTCTTTCCATATTGCAACCTTCGCCCCAGTGCCAACATTTTGCTTGCTCAGTTGCGCAGCAAAGGTTACCGGAACAACTCCAGACAAGCTGGCAAATGTCTTCAAAACAGAAGCCTTCACATTTTCCACTACAAGTATACGATGCCTAAAACAGTGCTGAATCACTTTTTCACAAGCGTGCCCATGGATTAGTATCAGGTTCACTTCCAGGTTCAACAGATGTGTCACAGTCCGTTCCACCCATTCGTCCTCTTTGCTTGAACTCGAAAAATCTATATGATCCCTCACACGGTGCATACCTGTCGGCCTGTTAAAGCCAAGATGGCGGTAAGTATGTGATAAATCTCCATTTATGAGAACAACCTTCAGTTGTTGTTCTTTTAAGTGATGAGCGACTGTAGCCTGTTCAGCAGATAAAAGAACAACACAGCCAAATACAACGCACCCCTGATCCTCTGGTAAACCAGGGAGCATACAAGTCACCACTTTAGTAATGTCAAACATGAGATAGCTCACATCTTCTTGACTAGTTTTTGACTGCATCCGAATAACTTCGACTACAAGTTTCATTGCATCATCACAACCATGACTCAGTCCCTCAGCAATGTGTACAATGTCAGGAAGCTTAGGCTGAGGAGACTGTAGCAATACTTTGGAGACATCTTCAGACTTCATCTCACAAAAATGTCTGCTGAGTTTTATTTTTCTCTGTTCACCGACGGTCAGAGTCTTGACGTCAAACTTTATTGTTCCCTGCATGCTGCACAATGCAGGCGATGAATATTTGATGGGTTTCTTGGACACTTTCACAGCACAACTCTCTAACGATGTCACGCCCAGACCATCAATTGAAACGGCACATTTCCTGCAAGCATCCAGACATACATCCATCCCTTCAGACATTGCTGAGATTATGTTCCCTACTGAAATTCCTCTCTGAAGACAGTCCAGGGCAACACGGCTCCAGGCCCCCGCTAGGAACAGCAGGCATCCCGACCCTGTATGGTAGACCTTCTGGTGGGCTTGAATAGTCTCATAAACAAGCTGACCCACTGCACAGGTCAGCTCCATGGTCTCAATAATGCGAAAACACGAGCACACAAGAGCAGACTCCCCACTCTTGTCATCTTGGATAAACTTGTACTTTATACAAGGGCCCAAAGAGGAATGTGAGATTCCTGCCAGCGCCAACAGTTTCTGCAGTCCAATATGCTGCCGATGGTTTATGATTGTACTTCCCAACATCATTCGAGGACCGTGAACTGTAAAAGAAAATTTTTAAGTTTGGTCATTTCTAAACAAAAAAAAAGTCCTCACAAACATTTGCTTTAGTTTGGAAACATGATTTGTGTTTTTAAAGTAATAAGTCACAAGGCACAGTAACTAAGTATAGGCCCTCAGATTTCCTTTTCTATCCATCCATTCTCTTCTGCTTAACCTTATTTGAGTCGCGAGAGGGCAAGAGCTGATCCCAGCTACCATAGGGTGAGAGGTGAGGTACACCCTGAAGAGGTCACCAATCTGACACAGAGCACACCTCCTGGAAATTCAAATTTATTATAAAGTATGGTACTGTAATCCTCAAATGAAAAAAGATTTGTAAAAAACTAAAAGGACGCGGGGGAGGGGGGATTGCGGGAATAGCTTTTTTTAATGGCCCTGTTTGTTTTTATGCTGTTTCTTTTTTTTTTATGATAGACCATCTTCTACTGCTTCTTTTGCCTGCTCCCTTCAGGGGTCGCCATAGCACATAACCTGGCTCCATCTCTACCTATCCCTACCTCTCTCACACCAACCCACTGCATCTCCTCCTTCACTACATCCATGAACCTATATGTTGTCTTCCTCTTTTCCTGCCTGACCTAATCTATCAACCTGTTCATCACCACTGTGAACAAGAATGGGCTCAGAGCAGATCCCTGATGTAATCCCACCCCCACTGTAAACCCATCTGTCACTCCTACTTCAAACTTCATCACTATCCTCATAAATGTCCTACACCAGCCTCAGATACTTCTCTAACACTACTCACTCCCTCATGCAGTACCACAATTCCTCTCTTGGCAGCCTATTGTATGCTTTCTCTGGAGCTACAAAGACAGCCTGAAACTGTTTTGACCTTCTCCACATGTCTCCATCAACATGTTCAAAGTGAACATCACATCTGTAATTCTCTTTCTCGGCTTGGAGCCGTACTATTGCTTACTGATTGTAAACTCTCCGGTTAACCTAGCCGGAACAACTGTTTTCCTTAGTTTAATGGCATGACGTCTCAACTTTACAGATATTGTAGAAAGTTCTAATCTAGTTAATTAAGGGTTTCAATCATTTTTATGCAGAGAAGCCTTAACCTGAGTCATCACTGTCAACTGAGCTGTTTTCACTGTCAGTGTGGGCTTTTTTTTAAAACAAAAAACAAAACAAAAACAAAACTCGTTTTACTCTGATAACAGCAATTAAAATAGCAGCTTGGCAAGTTTGATATTTTGTTTTTTTCCTTTTTTGTCCAGGGAAACCAAACGGTTCATAGGCCTTTCACCCCCTCATCACGTGTCTTTTAAGATTTAAGCAGTTAACAGCCAAGCACTACGAAATGGAAAATCGTATTTGCAGACAGATGGCAATCAGCATATTGACATTTGACAGATATAATGGGTGCAACCCACATATTTTTTAGAGGTAAAACATTGCTACTCATGAAAAACTGACGGGTATTAATTATTCCTCCAACACTAGCAGCGAGTTTTGTCAATGCCTGCACTTCACTCAGCATCTTACAAGTCAGCTTACAAGCTAAGCTAACAAACCAGAGACAAGTTTACTTCAAAACTGCCCGTGTCTGTACCTTAATCCAAGAGCAGAACCCCCCCCCCAGAAATGACTCTGCAAAATGACGCTGTAATACAAACTTGTTACTATCCTCAATGAGTATACTTTTACCTTATTTCAATAGTATACGAGGCATTTATATTACGCCTGGTCCAGCTCAACCGATTAAACACTGCGCATGCGTCTTCTTTCCTAGTTGCTGGGCGACAACAAACTGTCCGTATGATTGGCTGAAACTGTTTTAACCCGCCTACTATTTTTTGTGATTGGTTAATCAGGTTTCGTCAGCGTGCTTTCATCATTTGTATTGGCTCTCTCGGATGTCTGTTCACAGAAAAACTACACAGTCGTTGCTACCTGATTTGTTGACATCAGACCATCAAACAAAACAGAGGTTTCCCCGTCGGGATCATTTATTCAAATGGTGTGCATTTATTTAATTATGTAAAGTAACTTTATAAACGAATGTTTAATGACCATTTTAAGAAGCTGTGAGATTTGCCATAAAAAGCCGTTAGTTTTAACTTGATTCTCTTCGGTCTCCCGGAACAGCATTTAAGCTAGTTAGCACAATAATGACCTAAAATAAGATATGTACCGCGAGTCTCGTTGCTGTTAACTTAGTAACTTAATAGGTAGCTTTTGTGATGTATTAATATTGTATTTCATAGGCTTCAAGTTACCGGAAACCAACTTCCTCGGCTAGCCAAAGGAAAAAGACGGATTTAAAACACGACCTGACTGAGGAGCAAAAGCAAGAAATTAAAGAGGCTTTCGATCTCTTTGACACAGATGGAACTGGAACAATAGACGTGAAAGAGCTCAAGGTTGGCTTTCTAGTTAAATGTGTAGTGATAAAAGTTAAGTAAGGAAAACATACCGCGGTCACAACACCGCAGCAGCTTCAGTTTTCTTTACTGTTATCTGTGTCACAGGTTGCCATGAGAGCTCTGGGGTTTGAACCAAAGAAAGAAGAGATCAAGAAAATGATTGCAGACATTGATAAAGAGGGTTCTGGAACGATTGACTTTGGTGACTTTCTCAGTATTATGACACTGAAAATGGTGAGTGTTTTACCGAAAGGAACAAGAAAACTTCTCTGCAGTTAAGTTGGAAGTTTTACTGTCTGAAAATAGCACTGTCCTTAAAACTGTTGGGGCTAAATCAAGCATTTGTGTGTTGTTTCAACAGCTGTTGTTTTGGAGCAATTCTAAACATTGCAAGAATTTGCTAGATATAGTATCTCTCTCTCTCTCTCCCCCTCCCTGTCTCACACACAGACACATTTGTAAGGCTAGTGTATTTATGGGTTGACCCATGAAAAACTTGCCAAATCATCTCTGCCAGTGCTTGTTCTGCTCTTGACTCTTGTTGGAGCTTCTGGTACCTCAGATGTTGACAATCAGGTGCCTGATTGGCATCTGATTAGCATGGGTCCTGCTACAGTGAGCAAGTACATGCAAAGTCACCAACACCTTTATGGCTTTCCTGTGTCCTAAACAAATAGCACAGTAACAGTAGATCATAGAAAAAGGTTGTCTTCAGACTGAAAAAACTATAGATAACATTTAGTGTGGCCACCTGTTCTTTACATTACAAAACACATTTCCATTCAAGAGTTATAAAATATACTGCATGCACACTCTTTATGTTTGTGCTTTGTAAAATGTGCTTCACTTCATTTCCTACACACATTCTGCAAATTATGTTCATATTGGACTGCATTTGGAGCAAAATTTAAAAAAGAACATTTTGCATGTTTTTAATTTGTAATATATATATATATATATATATATGTATTCATTTTTGATGAGAACAGAGTGAAAAAGACACAAAAGAAGAAATACTGAAGGCTTTCCGACTCTTTGATGATGACTGCACGGGAAAAATCTCATTCAAAAATCTCAAGAGAGTTGCCAAGGAGCTGGGTGAAAACCTCACAGATGTAGAGCTGCAGGTATAGAAATTCTTCATTACTTTGGAGTACTTACAGTTTTGCCCCTACCTGACCCTGTGTGAAGAAGTAATCCCCCCTCCCCTTTTTAAATCATGAATTGATGACTCATCCAGAAGGTCACAAAGAACCGAGCACAACATCTAAAGAAAGTTCCAAGAGTGAGTTCTAACCAAAAAGAACATAAAGGTTATTCTCACAATTGCAAAAATGTCTTGTTGATCTCCAAGACCTTGACGACACAAAAAGTTGAACTTTTTGGGAAGACTTGAATCTCGCTACATCTACAATAAAACAAACAGCATTTTATAAAAAGTACATCGTAGCAACATCTGGGCCTGCTTTGGTCAACTTGACTTAATTGACGAAACTTTGAGTTCTGCTCTCTACCTGAAAATCCTAAAGGAGAATGCCTGACCATCAGTTCATGCCAGGAACTGGCTGTATGCACACTCAAGTTATTCAGCAGGACAATGATCTGAAACACACCAGCAAGTTCACCTCTGATTGGCTTAAAAAACAACAACAAAGAAAACACAAGTCACGACTGATTAAGGTGCTTTGGCATGACCTTAAACAGGCTGTTCATATGGCTGAATTAAAACAGTTTTGAAAAGAACGGTAGGACAGACTTCCTCCACAGTGATGTGAAAGGCTGATTGTCTAGTTATTTCGAATGCTTGATTGCAATTTCTACTGCCAAGGGTGGTAGGACCAGTTATCGGGTATACTTTTTCACAAACTGGCGGGTAAATTTAGATAGCTTTTTTCCCTTAATTAAATTAAAAACATATAATCATTTAAAAATTGCATTTTGTATTATCAGGTTATTGAAAATGATTCCTGAGGTAATGATGTTCAAAAAGTTGGGTTTTGAGAAAAAAAACCCCATCTTGAACCAAAACAAGATTTTGAATTTAGATTGTGATATTTGTAGTGGGTGTAAACTGATTTAATTTTTAACAGAGCGTTTTTCAGTTCTGAAAAATACAATATGGTTTTCTCCTTTACATAAAAACTGATAAGGGCTCAGTAATGCTGGGAAAAATGAAATGAATTAATAAGAACAAAGTTTTTCGTACTGCTTTGCTGCTCAGTACTTTGAGAGCCTGCAAGTCACTCTGCAGTAACTATTCATAGTGTAAAGATTAACAATTTTATATGTAAATGAACCGGTGCATCGCTTTTCTACTCTACTTTATATGCCTCATTCAAACACACACTTATACAAGCTCTTTTTTCCTACACACAAGTTCTTTCTGTCTAACATCCACATACAGTCGTACTCCAATGAGCACATCAGAGAGCAACTTGTTGTTCATTATCTTGCACAAGGATACTTTGGCATGCAGACTAAACCACCAACCTTCCAGTTAGTGGATGACCTGCTGCACCTCCTGAGCTACAGCCACCCCAGCTGGCTTTGTTAAATATACTAAAGTACAAAAAAGTTGCTCATTCTGAAGGGGTCAGG